CCTCTGCGATTTGCGTCTACGGTCAACCCGGATGGCATGGATGAAGCATTCTCCAGAGCTGCCATAGCATTCTTTCCCATTCGGCCAATACTTCCCATCCTCAGCGGCTTTCGCCGGCCAGCCTCGTTGGGAGAACGCCAACGTGGCCCTCCAAGGCCCTTGCGTCCTTACCGTGCTTCGTTATGATGCGGGTTGACTGTGCTGGCGTCGATCTCGGAGGGAGGAGAAGCGACACCAAGACCACCAGGGGGCCCACCTCCAACGAGGAGGGCCATGATGCCTCCCCGAGCTGGAGGCTGGGGATGTCTTGAGCGAGAGGGGGGACCACACCACCAGGGTGACCCCCCTTGCTCCTCGCATCTCCTCGCCCTGATGGTGTTGGTGTCGCCTTTCCATGTTCCTATCGATCAGCGTGGAATTAGCATCGATGAGCGTCGACCGGAGAGATCTGACAAGATGGTATGGGAGGCCCCCGTGAGTTGCCATCGAAGGGGGTGGGGCGAGCGCCGACGCAGGAACTCCGAGCGCACCTGCGAAGACTTGTGTTCACGACTCCTGTTGCTCTAGCATGACCCGCAGCAGGCATACACATCATTGTTCATGTCTAATTCTTCGAAGTTTCTTTGATTTTTTTGGGCCAAGATCCTTTCATTTCTAATTCTTCTATCCTGGGACTCTTCCTGGCCACTGGGGGGCCAGGAACAATTAGAAACGAGCACAATTAGAAATGAGCACGATTAGAAATGAACGACGTGCACACATTACCACAACGTACCTTGACATCTGCTGGTGCGATTTCTTCCATTCGGGGCGACCGGAATGGGCACGGAAAGGACGGGCACAACTGACGACAGCATGTCGAGCTCATTTGAACAGGATTCGTTGTCGGTGTCGCCGCGGACGTTGCCGATTCGAGACAGATGGCCGCTTGCCTGACAGCGGCCGCTGTTGGTTTGGGACTTCATTTGTTGGTTGGCATGGTGTACTTTTCTCCCGTGCCCACTTAAGGTGGCAAAAAAGGAGGAGGAGGAGGAGGAGGAGGAGGAGGAGGAGGAGGAGGAGGAGGGGGTGGCACTGTGCCGACCTGTTCTGTGCCCCTCTCGGGCGTCCAGGTCCATCGGCTGCCCAGGGCTCTCCGTGGGGGGCGGTTCTCCGCCCCGGGCCCGCTCTCGCTGGTCGGGTCCGAACCCTGCCTCCTCCTCCTCCTCCTCCTCCTCCTCCTCCTCCTCCTCCTCCTCCTCCTCCTCCTCCTCCTCCTCAAGCACCGGGTGGCTGGTGGGCGCAGGGCTCGGACATCGCTGCCGAGGGTCTCAGGCGAGCTGATTTTGGCGCCACCGGCAGTCATCCCGCACAGTAAGGATGAGAGCGACTCTCCAAGGTTCCCCTTGAGAATCCTTCCCCCGCGGCCCATCCTCGGCCGCTTTCGCTGGCCGCGCCCCGCTCACAGAGTGCCGACATGGCCTTCCGAGGCCCTTGCATCCTTACCGTGCGTCCTTAGTATACGGGTCGACTGTCGTCGTCGTCGTCGTCGTCGTCGTCGTCGTCGTCGTCGTCGTCGTCGTCGCGATCGACCGACCGACCGACGCGACCGACCGACGGACGCGACCGACCCCCGACCGCCAGGGCGGCGGCCGCGGCGGGGGCGTCGGCGCGCGCGGCGCGCGCGGCGCGCGCGGCGCGCGCGGCGCGCGTTGCGCGCGTGGCGCGCGCGCGCGGACGCGGTGGACCCAACGCGGGTGGCGACCGCGCGTCGCCACCCAGACTCGGGTCCGCTTCGAGCGGGCTTTCGCCGCGGCCCGCGCCGAGCCCAGGCGGAGCGTGCCGCCCGGCGGGAGGCGGAGCGCGGGGCGGCGGCCGCGGCGGACGTGGAGCGCGGCGTGGCCGCGGCGCTGAGCAGGCGGCCGCGCACGCCTCGGGTGGGGGGGGCCCGGGCCTGGCCAGGGATCTCCTCCTCCTCCTCCTCCTCCTTCTCCTCCTCCTCCTCCTCCTCCTCCTCCTCCTCCCCCTCCTCCTCCTCCTCCTCCTCCTTCTCGGGTCGGCCGAAGATCGGGTCGGCCGATCCGAGGAGGAGGAGGAGGAGGAGGAGGAGGAGGAGGAGGAGGAGGAGGAGGAGGTACCCGTCCGCTGCCCTCGCTCCGCTTTCCCCGCTGGTCGCTCTCCCAGGAGGCTCGGCCACGCGCAGAGGGGGGCACGGGGAGGGAGGAAGGCGTCTTAGAAGCCCCCCTGCTTCTTAGAAGCGGCGGGCGTTGTCTGTAGATGTAAGGCCTGCGCCTTCTAAGAAGCAGCCTCCTTCTAAGAAGCCTTCCCCCCTCCCCTACCCCCCTCTGCGCGCCGCCAAGAGGCCCTCGTCGCCACCGCTGGATTCGTCTCGGAATTGTTCTGGTCAGAGCGCGCCCCAGGAGAGGTCCAGGGAGCAGCGGTATAGGGGTATATCTTTTGGTCCCCCCAGCCTCGGGCCCTGCCGAAGATCGAGTCGGCCGACGGGTTTGCGGACGGCCTCGTGGCTTCTCGGCGGGTTTCTCCGTCCCCCCGACGGCTTCGTCCCCGCCGGGAAGCACCACGGCGGCTGTGCTCTCTGAAAGGTCCTCGGCCTCCCCGGGGGGGGGCCCCACCTGGCCCTGGGGCTGGCATAGGCAGGGGCGAAGTACACCCTAGGCGATGCTTAAGAAAACCTAAGTTTTCGTCCAGAGTCTCGATTATTCTTAACTTTTCAATGTAAATCCCAAGATTTTGATAGAAGTTCTGGGTTTTATTCAATTTCTGAGATTCTGAATTTCTTAACCCATGATTTCTTAAGCATTTCGCAGGGTGTACCCCGCAAACCATCCCCACGACAGTTGCCCCGTAGACCATCCCGACGAATCGCTGCTCGGCCACTGAGGCTCGAGATCTCGAGCGATTGCCAGGCAGCAAGGAACGACTCAGGACGGAGGTCTGGTCCCGAGCAAGGGGGCCAGGCCTCCGGGGCGCCACGTGTCGCCGCGCCGTTGGTCCCGACCGACGCGTGGCCCCCTCCGTCTCGGGAAGGACGCCTCTGCCACTTGGGAAAAAAACGCCGCCTCGGACGCGGTGGGCTCGTGGCCTTGGCGCGGTGCTGCGGTCGTCTACTTGGGCGCGGGGTGCAGGGCTTGCTGTGGGTTTGCCGTGGCACCGGCGTCGTCCACCCGGGCGCGTCGAGAACACTCGGCGCGGCGACACGTTCTCACTCCATCGTGTCTGGGAGCCGTGTAGTGACTCCGGAGCACGACGTCGGTTGTCTGGGATTCCGCCCGTCAGATGTTCTTCAGCAGCCGCGCCTGGCCGACAGGAGGCCCGGCGCAGCTGCTGGAGACGAGAAGGCAGGCGACGTCGCTCGGCAGGGGGTGGCATGGCAAACGTACGCATGCGTGTGTGTGTGCATGAAGTATGTTGCGTGCAGCTGGTTTCGGCCCCGCCGCTGGGGGCTTGTCTCGACGCATGAGCGCCCCCGACGCCGGTAGGCGCCAGGGAGACCGGCTACGTGAGTGGATTCGTCAACCCCCATTTTGCTACGTACTCCGGTCCGACCTGAGAGGAGGAGGAGGAGGAGGAGGAGGAGGAGGAGGAGGAGGAGGAGGAAGAGGAGGAGGACCAGTGTGATGAACCCAAGACTCATCAACGATGTTGGAATATACCCTCACGCAAGCTCCCTCTTCATAGGCCCCTGCAAGGACTCATCTCCACTGAGACAACCGTTTGAAGATCCTGAAGCTTGACAGAACACCATTCTCATGACTTCAACGCCACGAGTCAACCTGACTGGTGCGGTTTGACGATACAGAGTCGAGCCAGAATACCGTTTCTGGGATCTTGACACCGCGAATCAGCGTAATTATTGCGCCGGAATTGCTCCAGAACGCCAGGTACATTAGCCAGGAGAATCAGTGCAACTCCGGTACATCTTTAACAAACGAATGTGCGCGGCGCGAACGCGAGAGCCACATTTTGAAAATGAGCCGGCCTCCATCCGCAAAGCTGCTGCAACTTTAAAACGAATGCGCGCGGCGTTGAAGCGAGAGCCACATTCTGAAATCGAGCCGCCCTCAATCCGTGAAGCTCTTGCAACGTTTTAGAACGAATGTGCGCGGCGCTGAGGCGAGAGCCACGTTTTGAAAATTGCCCGTTCTTAATACGTGGAACTGTTGAACAGGTTTGAAACGACTGCGCGCGGCGTTGCGGCGAGAGGTAACTTTTGGAAGCGGCCCCCCGCCCTCCTTCTTTGCAATTGTTGCCAGTTTTTCCAGTTGACGCCCATAAATTGTAAGGAAGATCGAGGCGAAACGCCCAGCCCGCCCTTCCGACTGGCCTCGAGGTGCGACAGGGAAGCGTTATGCAGCAAGAAGGGAACGGAGGAGGGGGAGGAGGAGGAGGAGGAGGAGGAGGAGGAGGATGAGGAGGAGGAGGAGGAGGAGGATGGGGGAGGGCTTCAGCTTGGACGCAGGCGAGGGGCTGGCTCGAGTCCCTGCAGGTGTCCGCTGCGGACCTCCACGCGAGCTCCAGGTGCTGTGGAGTAATTCCGGCGTCGCTCCCGCACCAGATGACCCGTGGTGGTGGGAACTCTTTCAGGGAGGGGATGGCGGCGGAAGTCGGCGCTGGTGCCACGCTGCCCGCACAAGGCAGTCGCGGATGACGAGGTGACATGGGCGGCAGCGAGAAGCCCGAGAAGAAAACTCGGGCACAGGATCATGATGCTACGTCTGCTGTGCAACAGCTTCGGGGGATCGTCGACGACACTACAGCGGAGCTCATGCAAACGCTCGACGAGATGCAGCAGTCCGTCGTCATGTTCGGCAAGGCCGCCGGCACCAATTGTGACTAGCTCAACAAGAAGATGGGACACCGTCTTGGAGAGGTCAACTTGAACCAGCAGCTAGCGGGCAAGCGCATCACTCAGATTGAGAAGCAGATGGCAAAACTCCATGGACTACTCCATTGTATCAAGGCCGAGGAACCGACTACCGCGGTCGTGGGCTCCACGTTCAAGCTTAACAGTGAGCCTTGCATCAGCGCGGCCTGGTGCGAGTGGGACTGTCATCACGAAGGGGGAGAATCAGAGCGTTCTCGAGCCCTGATTCCAGCGAGCCCAGATTGAGAAGAACGACTACCGGCCCACCTCAGATCCTGCCGACAAGTTTATTTTTCTGGGTTCGAGGCGACGCTACCTACGCTCAGCGGAATGTTGCCCAGGCGATCGCCGCATTTTGTCATCCCAGTGGCGGGTGTGAATGGCACGTCGGGGTAGACCTCAACCGGACACGCGCCGAGATCTACGTCGGTACGGACAAGTCACCAGCCATGGTCAAAAGGGGAGCCGCCCATGGCGCGTACTGCGTGCCAGGGAGGAGGGTCTAGCGCCGATCCAAGAAATCAGCTCAGGCTTCCGAAAGATTGTGTTTATGTCATTGTTGGTTCTTCGGTCCCACGATGTCAGGGAGCCCCGAACCTCACAGCGAGAGGAGGCCTGCTGAGATAGATGTTCGCAGCGGCTCCTAGGGGGATAATGGGTTAAGAAGCGGATGAAAAGGCGGGTTATATCTGGCGGAACCTAGCTCAGAATGTCAGTTTGTGATTAACAAATGGGTACCCCCCCCTGGGCTAATGAATAGACCCCGCGGGGCGTGAACCATTTTTTTCATCACGCGCGCCAGGGGATCCTGTAACCCCCTGCATGACAGCCTCAAAACGATTGCTTTTTTCCTTGTAGAAGTTGTTATAAAAGGGGTTGTACGCATCCGACGCGAATGGGTCTTCCCCTCTCAGGCGTCGTCGTCGTCGTCGCCGCCGTCGTAGTCGTCGTCGTCGTCGTCTTCTTCGTCGTCCTTGTCGTCGCCGTCTTCATCTTCGTCGTCGTCGTCCTCGTCGTCGTCCTTGTCGTCGTCGTCGTCGTCGACTACAATGCCCCTTCCCCCCCCACGGCATCCGCAGAGCGTCGTCGTCCTCGTCGTCGTCGCCGTCGTCGTCGTCGTCGCGTCGTCGTCGTCTTCGTCGTCGTCTTCGTCGTCATCGTAGTCGTCGTCGTCGACTACACCGGGCCTGCGCAGCCCCCCCAGCCCCCCCATAGGGCATCCGCATTGCGTCGTCGTTGTCGCCGCCGTCGCCGTCTGCCGTCCGCCGCCGTCCGTCGTCCTTGTCCTCGTTCTCGTCCCCGTCCTCGTCTTCGTCGTCGTCGTCGGTCATCGTCGTCGTCGTCGTCCGTTGTCGTCGTCGTCGTCCACGACTACAGAGACCACGACAGAGGGGGGAAGGAGGACTGCCCGCCTTGCTCATGTCGGACAAAAGGCTGGGGAAGGACAGGGGGGTATGCGGAACTTGCTGTTCGCAGCTGGTTTCGGTCGCCCCGCCGAGGGGCCAGTCCTCGATGCATGGCCGCTTTCGGCGCCAGGGGGCGCTCGGAAAATCAACAATGTGAGTTGCTGGGCAAATCCCCGCTTGGCGACGTTTCCGTTTCGTCCAGCCCATCTTGCTTGCGTGCCCGCCAGGCAGTTGGCGCCCGCTCTGGCTGCGGCCAGGGCAAAGGAACGCATCGGCTCGACAGGACACAGCATGGAAAGTGCGGGGCGAGCGCTGACAGCTCTTTTCTGCATTTCGAATAGGTGTCGCCCTGGCTCACGGTCCCTGCTTCTGCCATTCCCGCTGGCGGCTGGGCGTCGGCGCTACTCACCAGCGCCGACGCCGTTGATTTTCAATATGGTGGGCCTCACCCCGCGGTTCGAGCAGGGAAACCTCTCTTTTTTTTAACGCGCATCCCCCTAGGATGTGTCAATCACAAGCTGACACTCAGTGGGTCACGGGCGCCATAGTTGCTTCAAGTGGCTCCGATGACTCCGCCAAGTGGGCCAGATCGCTAACCCCCCCGAACCACCTAGGGCACCAGCAACCCACCATAAAGCCAGGTCTGACCAGATCTGAACCAGCATCCGCTTCTAAGCCCCCGATCTCCTCAGCAACCCCAGCGGGGATCTCAGTGGTCTCCCCCCAGAGGCTGGCCGAGCTGGAGGGGGCGCTGGCCGCCGAGCGCGCCGCGCGCCTGGACGCGGAACGGCGGGCGAGCGCCGCGCAGGGCGAAGCGCGCGGCGAGGCCGGGGCTGGACGGCGACGGCGACGACGACGACGACGGCGGTGGCGGCGAACCACGACGACGGCGGCGGCGGCGACGACGATGACGACGGCGACGGGGACGACGGCGGCGACGTCGACGGCGATGACGGAGGCGACGACGACGAAAACGACAACGAGGACGACGACGATCGCCGAGTGGCAGCGCTAGCGGGGGGAAACTCAGGGTTTGATCCAGACATGTTGGCCGATCTTTGGGAGTGGGCGGCCCATGCGCTCAGTCGCTTGCCGCCTTCCGACTACTGGAATTGGGCGCGGGCAGGGTCTTCCCTGCACGGTGGAACCCCGAAGGCTGCCACCAGCTCTCCTACCCCGGCACCAGGCATGGAGGGAACCTCCGTCGTCGTGGTCGTGGTCGTCGCCGTGGTCGTCGTCGTCGTCGTCGTCTGTGTCGGTGTCGCCGCCGCCAACGTCAATGTCAACGTCAACGTCAACGTCAACGTTACTGTTGTCGTGGTCGTGGTCGTGGTCGTCGTCGTCGTCGTCATCGTCGTCGTCGTCGTCGCAGACTTTATTCCGCCCCCCGTCCTCGATGTGGGCCTGTGCGAAAGGCGGAGGCCCACGTGGCCAGGCTGTCGGAGGCGCTCGGCGCGGAGAGGGCCGCCCGGGCCGAGGCGGAGCGCAGGGCGGCCATCGCCGCCGGCGTGCAGCGCGAGATGGTGGAGGCCGAGCTGCTGCTGGCGAGCCACGGGGGGCGCCGAACGGCCCGGGCCGCGCGCAGAAGCAGCCGCCTGCCCCAGACCTCCGAGGGCATGTGATTTTTGTCAAGCCGTCGGTGTGTTTCGTTGAGTTCGGCTTCGGGTGCCCGGCATCGGGCCCAGGGGCCATCAAGAAAGGATCCGCGACGGAAAAAACACCCCTGGGGGAGGGGTCGAGACCTCTGGGGCCGCGGAGTGGAGAAAGCATGTCGTCGGATGTCTGGGTTGGAGGAGGAGAGGGCACCCACAGCACTGCCCTTGCCCCTCGTGCTTTCGCCTTGTGGGGGCCTCCTGGGAGGCCCTCGTCGCCGGCGCTGGATGCGCCCCGAAATCGTGGTCAGAACGCACCCTGGGGGAGGCCCAAGGAGTAGCGGTATCGGTAACTTCTGGTGGTTCCCCCAGAGATGATTGCTTCAATGAGCAGTGTCCTCAGTAGACGCAGCGCGAATGCGCAGCAATCGGAGTGCGGTATGCCTAAAACTGCACCGTATGGGCATCATGGAGCAGGAGCGTGCCCGGCAAGGTCGCTATCCCAGCTACGATGAGGTTACTATTTCATCGAGCTGTAGCCTGAGCAGAAGCCCGAAGAAATCACACGTGAGATGCTTCTCTGGTTAGCACAAAGCGCCACAGAACGCCCCTCCGCCCTGCGGGCCGCAGCCCCCGACCCAGACCGAGGGAAGAGCGGGCCTCTGCGAGTCGCTCCCGGCCGCCTTCGCGCTGCCTGGCCGCCAGGCCTCGGGAGCCCTGAGACGGGGGTCAAAACGCAGGCGGGGGTCAGCCGGAGCGCTGGGCCCTGCAGGGTCTCGCAGGGCCAGGGGTGCACTGACCCGGGTCAGGGCGCAGGATCTTGCAAAGCCTGACTGACCCGGGTTGCGCGTTGAACAGGGCCAGTAATTATATCCCCGATGGCCACGACGCAGTGCAGAGGCGAGCAGGTGGGCGAGGAGCAGGAAGAGGAGGGGCATGGCGGATGAAAAGAAGCGGAACAGGCACGGATGCCGCTACCCCCTCGCGTTCGCCTTTGTGGTCCTCCTGGGAGTCCCTGGTCGTCACGGGTGGAATCGCACCATTGTTTCAGGGTCAGAACGCACCCCAGGAGAGATCCGGGGCGTTGCGGTACCGGTACCATTGGGGATCCCCCATACACACCACCACACGGTCGATTCCCCGTGAACGGGAAGCATGTCCGGATCCACGGTTTCGCGGGCTGGGCCCCTGGGCCGCGATCCCGTGTCAGGGCGTTTCCTCGTGAATGCCCCGCGCGGAACGTATCCGTGCGACCAGGTGTCCGCGGGGTCGCGCCCCAGAATCCATACTGCGAGGGCGTGGATATTGATCCGTTTCGATGTCGTTTTCGGCCAGCTCGATCTGACTCGATCCCGGTAATCAGTTCAGTCATCCGATGCGGTTCGATGCTGGCGCATCCTGTCTGGGCCCATGCGTTTCGCTTCTGGCTCCGTACCGATGCGGCACGATCTTTCGCGCGTCCTGATCCGATCCGATTTCGCGGTTCGATGCCAGCTCCTTCTGGGATTGGAGGAGGGTTGGGCTGGGGAGGTGGGGATGGCCCCCGCGCTCGGTCGCGTGCCGCCCTTTCTTCGGCTGCACACAGGAGGTGGCCCCCCATCCGCTGCACGAGAGGACAGTCGAGCTGCAGTGCCGAAGCTCGCCGACCGACAGCGCAGGTGGAGAGCAGACTCGCCAGGGGACTGGGCTGAGAACCAGGCAGAGCTCGAACAGGGGATCGACTACAGAATGGATGTACCCCGAAATTGATCTCTCCGTCGTGGCGACGAGAAAAGCGCAGGATGCCCCCTTGGACCTACGGAGCATCCTGCGCCTTCCTCGCAGACTCGGTGAAAATCTCGGCCTCCTCCTCCTCCTCCTCCTCCTCCTCCTCCTCCTCCTCCTCCTCCTCCTCCTCCTCTTCGTCCTCGGAGGAGGAGGACGACGACGACGAGGACGAGGACGAGGACGAGGGTAATCAAGTCAAGTATGCAGGCGGTGCCCTGCGCGAGACGCGGGGCGGCGGCTTGCCGAGGCCGCGGCGGACCTGCCAGGAGGCACCGCGCCGAGAGGGGCCCCCCTCCCGGCGGGAGCCCCGGGGAGGCCCGAGGCCCCGGCGGGGGGCGGAGGGAGCGGCGCGGGCGGCGGCGGCGGCATCGTGCGGCGCCCCGCAGGGCGAGCGTGCCCGGCCCTGGGCGCGGGCAAAAAAAAAACAAGTAGCCTGGCGAAGGGCCCAAGCAGATGCAGCTGTGAATACCGCCACTGTGCTTGTAAGAAGGAGAGCAAACAGAACGAACGAAGAAGAAGGACAACAAACAGAACAAACAAACGAATCAAACAACAACACAGCAAAAGGCGCGGGCAAAAAAAAACAGACAAGGAGGAGGAAAACAAACAAACAAACATAGAGCGCGGGAGGGTGGTGGCATGCAGGGGGGGGGGGGCGCCGGGTGTGCACGCCCCGTCCTCGTCCGCCCCCGCCGCCCGCGCTGGCGAGGTGCTCCTCCTCAGAGGCCCGAGGGGGGGGGGGGCGGGGCGCGCCTCGGAGGCCCGAGGGGGGGGGGGGCGGGGCGCGCCGCGCCTCCCGGCACGCCCCCCCCCCCCCTCCCCCCCTCCCTGCGTGTTCCGTCCGTGCCCGCGGCCCCCCCGCCGGCCTCGCGCCTCGCCCGCCCCGCCCGTCGATCCCGGGCCTCCCTGCCGCCGGCTCGGCCCTCGGTGTTGGCACGCCCCCCCTCCTCGGCGAGCCGTGCTCGCGCAGGCTCCTCCAGGAAGGGCAGTCGCGTGCCTCCCTGCTCCCCTCGACCTCGGCCCCGCTCTCCCCCTCCCCCCCCTCTGCAGCGTCTGTCAGACGACAAGCAGCGTGATGAGTGGGCACAGGCTGTGGGAGTTCCGGGCGAGGCTCTTGGGACGGCGCTGGGCCTCGTCGCACTCGTAACCCGTCGACGTGGGACGCGTAGGCGTGGTCGCAGTTGTGGCCGCAGCAGCCGTACTGGCAGGAGGGGGTGGGGAGGAACACGAGGAGTACCAGATCAGCCCCCGTTGCCGACCCCCGAGGGGGGGGAAGAAGTGGGATGGGGGAGGAGGGAGATGTCCTGAAGGAGCGGGGCCAGGGGGAGTAGGGAAGGTCTTCTTGTCCACTGTGTTTGTTCCCCTCTATAGGGAGTCACATGCGAACCCTACCCCTACCCCCACGATTTCTGCGGGGGAGGGTGGGATTCACTTCGTTCGGGAGCTCCCGAGCGAAGTGAACCCCACCCTCCCCCTCAGAAATTGTGGGGGGTAGGGGTAGGGTTCACATGTGGCCCCCTGAGGATCTAGTAAAATAGGGAAAAAACAAAACATAGACAGAAAGTGTTCGGGGATCCGCGCGGTTCTCTCAAAGTGGCGCTGGGCCCCCGTGGCGGCGCCTCCGGTGCCGCCCCCGGAGCGCTCCGCGCGCCAGGGCAGGGCGGACCCGGCGCCGATCCAGGAGAGCCGCGCGGAGCATTGGACGTTTCTGTGTGTCTGTGTATGTGTGTGTGTGTCGTTTTTTGGTCGCGCGCGGATTGGCGACGGGTCCCGCCTCCACACGAAGCCGGCGCGCCGCATCGCCAAACGAGGGTGCCCGGCCAAGAAGTGTCCGCAGCCATGGCGGGAAGGCGGTGCAGCACGATAACGACCACAAGTGCGAGATGTCCTTGCTTCGCATCCTTGCCCCCCAAACCCAAAGTTGAAGTGTCCATCCACATGTTGCCCCTGGCCTCTGGCCTGCCGCCTAAACCCGTCATCTTCGAATGTAGTGGAAGGGGGGTGTATACATGTTGGTCCGATGTCCTCTAATGACTCCAAGGTCCTGGCGAGGCACGTGAGGACACTTTTGGTCCACCCACCGGAGGGGCACCGTGCGGCGGCATTGGCCTCATGTCTCGGGGGGCGCCCTCCCCGATCGGCGGACCTGGCGCCCGCGCGCCACATTCTCGGACCTCCCATCCACTTTATCACGCGCCCGAGGGAAAATTGAAGTCGGGCATGCCCCTCTACAGGAAGAAAATTCACAGAGAGTAGAACAAGTTTTTTTTTCGTATGTTTGATTATGCTTTGAAATGTTGTTTGAATGTTTTGAGAATGTTCGTCCAAAATCCGCCTGTGGGGGGACACGCCCGACCTAAGAGAGAACGGAGGAGGGCACCGGTCGGACGGGGCTAGGACACGGACAAATCCGTTACAGAGCGTTCCAGAGCGCGCTTTCAGAGCGCCCTGGAACGCTCTGAGGAAGGCCGCGGCGCCCGATGCGTCCTCCAGAGCCGCCGGATCTCAGAGATTCTCGATTTCGCCTCGCCCGATCTTTATCCTCGTCCTGGCCTCGCCGTATCATCCAGAGCCGCCGGCTCGCAGAGCTGCTCGATGTATATGCTCGCCCGATGTCACCCTCGTCCTGGCTTCGTCTTGATCGGAGCGACTGCACCTCGGCACCCAGGTCGCCCTGGAGCGCCCCACGGAGCGCCCTGGATGTTACCCTCGCCCTGGATGTTATCCTCGCCCTGGATGTTATGCTCGCCCTGCAGCGCCCCACGGGACTGGAGCGCCCCAGCTCTCGGCGGGGACGCCCTCGCCCGCGGCGCCGCCGGCCCCCCGAGGCGAGGCTGGAGAAGATGCTGCAGTCTGAGCAGGCCGCTCGGCTCGAGGCGGGCCTGCCCATCCCACCTCGCCCCTTACCCTCCTCCTCCTCTTCCTCCTCCTCCTCCTCCTCCTCCTCCTCCTCCTCCTCCTCCCCCTCCCCCTCCCCTCCTCCTCCTCCTCCTCCTCCTCCTCCTCCTCCTCCTCCTCCTCCTTTTTGACGTTGCTCGGAGCTGAAGCACGGGCTTGTTGAGTTCCTCTTCCTCCTACTCCTCCTCGTCCTCCTCCCCCTCCTCCTGCTCCTCCTCGTCCTCCTCTCGTCCTCCTCTTCCCCTCCTCCTCCTCCTCCTCCTCCTCCTCCTCCTCCTTATTGTCCTCCTCTCCTCCTCCTCCTCCTCCTCCCCCTCCTCCTCCTTCCTCCTTATTGTCCTCCTCCTCCTCCTCCTCCTCCTCCTTCTCCTCCTCCTCCTCCTCCTCCTTATTGTCCTCCTCCTCCTCCTTCTTCCCCTCCTCGTCCTCCTTCTCCTCCTGCTCCTGCTGCTGTTGCTCCTCCTCCTCCTCCTCCTCGTGCTCCTGCTCCTGCTCCTGCGTTCGCTCCTCCTCCTGCTGGCAACCAGGTTGGGAGGAGGAGTGGGGACGCTCTGTGGGCGTTACCGTGGTAGCCCCGCGACAGTGGGGGATACAGTGATGCGACTGGGAACGGGACTTCAGCAAGAGGGGCTGCGCTCTCTTTCATGTCGCGCGCGCCCGGGGCCTGGGGGGGCGGCGCTCCTATGTTTGACTATGTTTGACTATGGTTGAGCATGTTTTGGGGTAGGTTTGATTTCTCGTCCAAAATCCGCCTGTAGGAGGACATGCCCGACCTAACACCAGCCCATGCAGAAACCATGTCCAGGGGAGTTGAGGTGATCAGGGAAGTGGGTGAGCACGCAGAAGAACCAAAGGCACCCCTTGGGGCCCTCGTAAGGCGCAGGCAGAAAGTGAGGCTGGGGTATACACAACTACCCACAGCTCGCTCTTGACAGCTGGTCGTAGAACATGTTCAACGAGGACGAGCTTTGGGCGGTCCTGCGAACGTGTTCGACGGCGATCCCGGGGCGAAGTGAGAAGGAGAAGACCTTATCAGAAGGCTTGGAAGTCCCCCAGCCTTCCGAGAAGTGTTCTAAGCTTTCCTCGAAGACGCAGAAGCTTTCTCAAACGGCGCGAGGGCTTCCTAGAAGTCCCGCCACCTCCTGAGACTGCCTTCTCCTTCTCACATCCCCCCTCGCTCCCCGCAGACGTTTGTTCGCAGACGTCTGTTATGTGTGAACGGAGTTCGCGAATTGAGTGAAACTCTTGTTTCAGGAGGGAAGGAAGCACACAGACACAATTAATCGTCGATTCCCCAGAAAATGCAGGAAAATATGGGACGTGGGGGGGAAGACAACAAGCCCTAAAAATATAGGGAAATCTGGGGAATCGTTTTTTTTTATGGGGCCCCTTCACTGTTTTCTGTCTTTCTCCCGAACGCCCGAACGACAACGATGGGCATGCCCGTACTTGTCGTTCTGGGGCGGCGGGGCCCTCGGCCGCGCCTCTTCCTCTTCCTCCTCTCCTCCCCGCTCCTCTTCCTCCTCTCCTCCTCCTCCTCCTCCTCCTCGTCCTCCTCCTCTCCCTCCCCTCCTCGTCCTCCTCCTCTCCCTCTCTCCTCGTCCTCCTCTCCTCGTCCTCCTCTCCTCCTCCTCCTCGTCCTCCTCTCCTCCTCTCCTCCCCCCTCCTCTCTCTCCTCCTCCTCTCCTCTTCCTCCTCCTCCTCCTCTCCTCCCCGCTCCTCGTCCTCCTCTCCCTCCCCTCTTCGTCCTCCTCCTCTCCCTCCTCCCCCCCCCTCGCTGCGACAGCCGGGGGCCCCCCCCTCCTCCCCCTGCAGCAAGGGCGCCTGCGCGCGAGCCGCCCCTCCGGCCGGACGGGACGCGCGAGACGAGCGAGCGAGAGCGAGCCGAGCCGAGCCCCGCGGGCGCGCCGCCCACTCCGAGAGCACGCCCCCCCCCCCCCTGGTGCTCCCTCCTCCCTCCTCCCTCCTCCTCCTCCCTCCTCCCTCCTCCTCTCTTTCCTCCTCCTCCTCCTCCTCCTCCTCCTCCTCCTCCTCCTCCTCCTCCTCCTCCTCCTCCTCCTCCCCCCCTGCTGCATCTCGTCGTGCTGCTTGCTGGGCTGCTCGCGGTCGTCATGTCGGCGCCGTCCGTCGTCGTGTCTCTCGTCCCGTCGGCACCGTCTGCGGTGGGTGTGTGCGATGGGGACTGTCAATCTGCCGGTGAGCAGCATGCGCGCCAGCAGCAAGATGAATGTTGGCTAGGGGGTGGGGACCTGATGCCCCTTTGAAAGGGGAACTTTAAGCCACGTGGGAGGGAAGGGGAGCGAGGGATCACCTTGTTTCAAATCCCCCCCCCGGCATAGTGCGTGTGTCGCCAGGGGGCGGCGGCCCGTCCACGCACCTCCCCACCATAGGGAAGGGGTGCGGAGTCCCTGAGGACGGGCGGACGGGGTGGGCATCGGAGGGCACCATAGTTAAGCCCTTCACCATCCAAAGC